AAAGCCAAATCATTATTTTTAAATCGTGGTATGTTGCATACACTGACGCCCTGGTGTCTGCACATACAGATAGGAGGTGTGAAGGGTTGGTGTCTGAGTGGACCTTCTTCCCTCTCCTGTTCTTTTTTTGTTCAGCTCATACCACGTAGGTTCCCAAATATTTAAGTTATTAAATAATTGTCTATCTGAACAGGCTATGACTTCCCAGCCGTGCTGCGCTGGTTCGCGGAGCGCGTCGACCGCATCATCCTGCTCTTTGACGCCCATAAACTGGAGATCTCTGACGAGTTCTCCGAGGCCATCGGGGCCCTGAAGGGCAACGAGGACAAGCTGCGCGTGGTTCTCAACAAAGCCGACATGGTGGGCACCCAGCAGCTGATGAGAGTGTACGGTGCTCTCATGTGGTCCCTGGGGAAGGTGTTCGGGACCCCTGAGGTTCTGCGAGTCTACATTGGCTCCTTCTGGTCAGAGCCGCTGATGGTGACGGACAACAGGAAGCTGTTTGAGCTGGAAGAGGAGGATCTGTTCAACGACATCCAGAACCTTCCTCGCAACGCAGCCTTACGCAAGCTCAATGACCTGGTGAAGAGGGCACGTCTGGTCCGGGTGAGTTTTGTTGGCTTGTCAACGTGTTTGCTACATGATTACTGACTTGTTAGGGGTGTTCCAATCTTGTGTTTTTTCTTAATCCCAGGTCCATGCCCACATCATCAGCTACCTGAAGCAGGAGATGCCCTCCGTCTTCAGGAAGGACAATAAGAAGAAAAATCTGATCTACCAACTGCCAGTGATTTTCTCCAAGATCCAGCTGCAGCACAACATTTCTGCGGGAGACTTTCCAGATTGTACTAAAATGCAGGTTAGTCTCTACTGGGCACATCTGTACGACCAAATGAAGACTTTGCTTTAAAGGTCCCCTATGATACTGTTTTTCATCAATATATTATAGATCTCAGATATATACAAAACATGTCTCTGGAGTGTTTGGCTCGAAATACCGAACAGATCACCCATTGTAGCATCCCATAACCCCCTCTGTTTCAGCCCTGTTTCAAAAGTGCTGATTCTCTGCCTGTTACTTTAGATGAAAATAAGGAGCCACTCCCCACGCCCCTCTGAGAGAGATTTGGTTAAAAAAAAAACACAATGTTGCTCTAGGAGGAGATTTAGGTGATAAGGTGGGGGGTGTTAGCTTGGTTGGTGATTGGCTAATGGTTACACAAGCCAACATCACAAAGTGGCCAAAATCTGATCCGCTCATTTTCAGACAGGTTTTTATATAAATGGATTAGGACTAAAAGGGAGCGAATCTTTTTTCCTGAAATGTTCAGAATCTCTTAACGCAGAGGGGACACATGTTTATGTGTAAAAGACATGAAAAGTTGATTTTGCATAATAGGTAACCTTTAACTACTTAGTTGCTTTTAATCCAATTTGAAATCCCTTGCCTTACATCTTTATCATTCCCCTTTTGAAGGAGCAACTGATGGTCCATGATTTCAGAAAGTTCAAATCCTTGAAGCCCAACCTGATGACAGCCTTGGATGAGCTTCTCTCCTCCGACATAGCCAAACTGATGCCCCTCCTGCGGCAGGAGGAGCTGGAAGCAGGCGACCAGCTCGGCGTTCAGGGTGGAGCCTTCATCGGGAACCGCGCTGGACCCTTCGGAGAGGGCGACCCCTTCGCCATGGAGAACGGAGAGGGCGGCGGCGGCGAGGAGGAAGACTGGGTGGTGACCAAAGATAAGCCCAAATATGATGAAATCTTCTACAACCTCGCTCCCAACGAGGGGAAACTGAGCGGCAACAAGGCCAAGGACTGGATGGAGAGCTCCCGCCTGCCCAACTCGGTGCTGGGTCGCATCTGGAAGCTGTCGGACGTGGACCACGACGGCATGCTGGATGATGAAGAGTTCGCCCTGGCCAGCCACCTGATTGAGGTCAAGCTGGAGGGCCACGGTCTGCCCCCCGAGCTGCCCCAACGCCTCATCCCCCCTTCCAAACGCAGGCAGAAGGGTTCTGATATATAGAACCCGGAGCTGAGAGAGACTCTTCTCTATTCGCTGTGCTACTGTTTGTTTTTGCTCTTATTTCCCCCCCAGACCCAAGTCAAAAATGTTTGTATGTAAGTTGTTCAACTTTTCCTCTGATTTGGGTCTTGCACAATGGAACATACTGTATTCAAGTGTGAGTCAATCCTTTGAGACTGAGGGCTAACTGCAGAAGATTGTGTATTAAGAAGTCACACGGGTCTGGGTGCTTCTTCTTCCCTTAAGTTGCCTTTTTATCATGAGCTTTTAAAATATATCTACTTCTGTTTGCAGAGCAGAAGTCGGCCTCTAAGTGAGCTGTGTTGAGCATATATTTGGCAGCATTCAGAGCTCAAACGTTCTGTAAAGTATCCTTTAAATGTAACATTCCTGCGTCGACTAGATTTGAGTGGCTCAGTGTTATCTTGGTAATAATTCCTAAGATTATGCCATTTATTCTTCATGCCTGGTATATCTGATGAGGGGAACTGTTTTTACAAAGACTTATATTGCTCCTGTGATTTGTTTATAGCATTTTTAACTCAAACACGTCTATGAATAACCTGAATGCTTTTCACTTTTCCTGCTTTACATGCCACCATTTTGTGCATAAACTTTATATATTATTTTTGTAATTGTTGCTGTTTTGTATGTGCAGACCTCGGTTTTGATAAAAGAACATGACACGCTGAGATAAACTTTGGATTATTGATATATTTTCTGACTACTGTACACAGCTCCACCAACGGTTCTTATGTTAACGTTATTGTAACCGAATAAAAAAAACCTTGACTGTGTTTTGTCTCTATGGCGACCCTTTTGTGCATCAAAGAAATAGACCAAGCTTGAAAGAGTTAGTAGAAAGTGAGTCATTACAAATGCCTACAATTAAGCACAACTATGCGATACAGAGTTAGTGGTTAAGTTTTGCACTCTTTTAACAAGATTTCATTTCTATTTGGTCTCTCAGTGACGGCCAGATAAACAGTGAGTCACACTCTCCACTGCCAAGTCCTCATACCACCATTTTCCGAGGCTCTCCCCCTCTCGTATTCCCTCCATCTGAAGCTTTTTTCTCTCTTTAAAACACACATGTTTAAATACATCATCCCTGTTGAATACCATATTCACTCCCTCAGTAGCCTCCCTGTGAATGTCTTCAGATGTAGTGCACTATGCGGTATAAACACAAATATGTGTTTCACATGAGGCTTTCAAGGTTCGAAGAAGAAGAAGAAGGGGTGGACTCCCTGCCTCCCTGTTCTACTCCTCCATGGAAAGAAACACAAATGAGAACCAGAGGCAGCCCTTTCCTCGCTGCTCTCTGGCTCAGTGACTCACATGTGAAGAATGTGGTGGGTTGGCCAAAGAGTTATTAATATCTCCTTTCCTAGGGTCCGCTAAGTTTCCTCAGGCTCATACACAGGATCTAGACACTGTACCTTTATGAAAGACTTTAACAACATCCCCCTATTAGGAGAATTCCTCAGCTAGACCTGCGGCGCACCACACCCTCTCCTGTGTGTTTGGGGGTGTGTGAGAGAGGCAGAGGGAGGTGATGGGTGGAAATAAGTCAAGTGAGGTGACACAATTCAACAGAGATGTTCTTATCGACGTCGATGTTTGACTAGATAAGAACTTGGGATTGTTCCTTGTGTATTTTCAAGAGTCAGAAAATCCTCATAGCAGTTCAAACAATGTCTGCCTGTTAGAAAATGTGCTTGTGCTGAGTCATAAACCATATCGAACTTGTTTACTCAAATGAAGCTGCAACAGCAATGGGGTGAGGCTTGCAGCTGCAGCTCAGAGCCCCCACCAACATCAGGAGTCCCCAACAATGGAGCTTGCTCAACGAAACCGGGGTCTCCTCTATACGTCAGTGTTTACGTGGGGAATTCCTCACTAGCAAACCGGTCTGTTAAAAAAACAAGGTCACCAGCTCTGGAGAGGGCTGACACCTGGTGGATTCCTGACAGCCGTACACTGGAACTGTGCACAGCCGTGAACAACTGTAGAGGGCAGACTGAAGTGCACTGGATCACGGCCCCCTTTTTTATCAATGAGTAAACTGACTGACCACTGACTTGATGTTACATATTTTTAGGAGAAGCTACAACGTTTCATATTGTATTCAAGGCAGAACTTAATAGTGGAGAAAAATGATAATCTGTGTAGTTAAGCCAAATTGTGCCAATAATATCTGCATGTAAAAGAAACCATGTGGTGGATTTGTTATCAGATGATTTCATGATTTTCCTTTAATGAATACAAAATGTTCTGTTTTTTTTATATTTAGTTTAAATTGTCAGACATACTTATTTGTATGCTTCTTACTGGCTGTTGTGTTATTCCCTCTTATGTGGTATATGATTACTTTCGCAATGCCAGACAGAGATGTTTATCAGAGGGAATATAGATAACGTTCAGGTCTGCACCATCTTACATCTTAATGGACAAAACTTTTAAAATATTTACATTGGTTTTGGTTGTCTTACAGTTTTTCTAACAGTAAAATCAAGAAGGCCTCGCAACCCCCATAAGGCCTTGACTACCCCCAGATTGGCACTAAATTATATTTACTTTCACATTTCCCCCCAAGTTTGCTTTATGAATCACTGTTAACTGTTCCTCTTGTCCATGCAGCCTGTAAAGACATCAATGCTGTGGATTGTTGACCAAATTGTGCCATTTATTTTCTTGTTGAGTTTTGTTTCTTTCAACTTAAAGATTTGGTTTGAACTGAAATGTAGGAACTCATTTATAATACCCACAACTGGACTAAGAGTTGCATTTAAAAAGGGATTTATGTCTGAGGATTCATTACAGCAACAAATTACTTCCAATTTACATAGTGAGAATTGTAGAGGAATAGACCTCAAATGTGAACCTATATTTTACCCATCTTTTTAGAATCATGTCTTTAACTTGTACAATTTCATTTAACTGATATAATGTGTTACAAATGACTAAAGATGGTACAGACAACTTTTATTTTTTATTATTAATCCAAAAAGGAATCAAAATATGCTCAATAGTTCAAAAAATATTTCCCATTTTCTTGTCTGAATGACATTTTCTGCTCTAAACAACCGACTTGAACCTTAACATTATGAAACATTGACGTTAGAAATATGACTATCTTATTTAAGACATTAAGGCAAACTTATCACATCCCTAATAAGAGACAAACAACATGTAGTATCAAAGGTAAAGTTATATGAGCGTATATAAAATATATTTCAATTCAAATACCCATTCCACACATGGCACATTCACTCATGACAAAAGCAGCTTCTAATGTCACAAAAAAGCCAATTTCATTTTTAGTAGATGAACAAGCATTTGACTTATTTTCCCCATTCGTTAGCAATACATATTTTTCTGTAGCGCTTAGAAACTAAAATGGCTTTTGATGTCTTTCATTTGTTTCATCATGTCACCAATTTGCTGTCCCTGTTCTCTGAGGACGTCCTGAACCACCTTCTTCTGCTGGGCGTTGAGCGAGACCGTCGTCCTGTCCGCCGGCACGTCTTTGTCCACCTGTCTCTTCTGGTACTCCATCTTCATGTTCACCTGTTTGATGCAGTTGTCCAGGTGCTTCAGTTGATCGCCGATGGTCCTTAGCTCCTTCTTCATTTCCTTCTCGCTGTTTGACAGTATGGGCAGCTGGCTTTGCAGGCTGCCCAGCACTTTCTTAACCCTGTTCATGATGGTCTCCTGTCGATACTTGGCGTCCTCGTACTTGTCCGCCAACCTCTCCGCCGCCTCCCTCAGACTCTTCCTCTCCTCCCTGCACAGAGTCATCTCATCCAGCTGCTTGTTCTTCTGGCTTGTCAGGAGTTTCACCCTCCTCTGCAGCTCTTCCCGGGCCATGTCCTGCTTGAGAATGTACTCCTCGCGGAAGACCTGCGTGGCCCTGCTGAGAAGCTGCAGGCACTCTGGAGGCGGCGGTGACGTCTCCTTGTCCCCGGCCTTGAGAACGAGAGGATTGGTGGAGCTACGAGCCAGGATGTTGCGGATGTGCTGCTCGAAGGAGTCGTTGGCCAGCCCGCGCAGAGGGGAGCTACCAGAGCCTGGGCCTGGGTGTGAACAGAGCAGGGGGGGGGGGGGGGGGGCGAATGGAGCTCAACAGGGGCAACAGGATGCACTCGTAGGTGCTGGTGATGCAGATCATGGTGGCGCCCAAGGAGAGGTCGGACACAATCAAAAAGCCGAGAACTGGAGACGACTGACTGGTCTGGAGGGGTCTGGTACAAAGAATGTGCTCCACAATACAGCGCTTCTCAGCAGCCAGCTCCTGCAGACTATCCTTATCCTCCTCGCCCGAACGAAGGAAGTTCTGCAGCTTGTTGACCCAGATTAGCCCCACACTGTGCACTCCTGCTTCATGGGTGCAGTGGTACCTGTGCTGGCATAGGGGGTCTCTGTGCAGTCTGATAGGACAGGTGAAATCCAACTCCTGGGGCTCCTCATCTTCTGCTGTGGCTACTTTGAGGGTGAGCTCCAACTCAACACACTCAAACACGTAGAGAGCCGGGACAGCACCCGGGCCTCGGATCCACTTCTCCACCGCCCCCGCCTCCTCCTCTTCTTCAGACTCCAGCACCACACAGTGGTACAGCGTGCCCGTTTCTGTGGCAATGACCAGGATGCTGGGCACACATGGCAGGCAGAGGATGGCACACGCATCATAGCCATAGTTATCCTCTGCTGCGGGGTACATGGGGAGGGGTCCAGCAGGTTTAGTTAGACTCAAACCGTTTACCTGGCTCGTGTAGCTCACATAGGTCTCCCCATTTTCATAGAGGATGTAGAGAGGGTAGACCAGCTGGTCTTTTGAGCCATGTGAATGCCGAAGGGGAGATGAAATCGGCCCGAAGTCAAACGCCACAGCTATCTCGCCGAGAGATGCTGCGTAGGAGCGGACGGGACGGTGGCTGGCGCTGTCATCTTCAGACTGCGACACTGACAGGACTTTGGTTGGAGTCTGGGGCGACTTCAAGCCGTAAAACCGGATGGCGTTGTCGGATGTGAGCAGCACCAGGTGGGGCTCGTCGGCCTCGCTAGGGTACCACGCCGCCTGCCGCAGACTCACCGACGCGGAGCTGGTGAAGAAGCGCTCCGCCACCGGGATGGTTTTGCAGTTAACTTCGCTCCGCCCCCCCTCAAACTCGGACCTCTTGCCCCACCGCTGAGGGAGCTCCAGCACCGAGACCCCTCGCTGCCCAATGAGCGCCACGTGGTGCTGAGTAGGACTGACTAGCACCTGGCACAGGTCAAAGAGAGGAGGGTTGATGCACAGCAGGGACTGGTGGTTCCCGCTGCCGCGTCCCTCATCCGTGTTCAGCTGTCGCAAGTTGGTGGTGTAAAACACGCGGTCTATGTCGTCCCACACGAACAAGTCCCCACCCAAACAAAATGTCAGGTTTTTAGCTATCCCTCTTTCATTTGAGAAAGGATCTGAATCCAACTTCCCCCTTATTTTTTGGAAAATAGCATGGTTTGGTAGCTCACTCAACCACCGCTCAGTGCCGAAAGCCGCCATCTTGATCTGCCGTCTGTAACGGAAAAAAAGTCCATGGCAACAAGAGTGATTCACGACAGTCATTTAACGTATTACGGCGGCCGGTGTCGTACATTTTGCAGAATCACCATGGCGCTGAAAGAGACTGCAGGGCTATATGATCATCTAAAAGCAGAGTGGAATAAGAAGAACCCCAGCCTGAGTAAATGTGGAGATCTTCTGACCAAACTCAAGGTAAAGTCGCACATATGTTTGTCTGTTTTTAAGTCTGTTTCTATGAGTCAAATGAGGAACACAGCTTATTTTGAAGCGTCGGCGTTGTTAGCATATGTAGCTAAGTTTGCTAACCTGGGCTAGCTAGGCTGACGTTGTTTTTGAGTTTTCTATTATGTTAGCTATAGACACACATAGTTATATTGTCTGTGTGGTGAACACACTGCGTTTCTATTTCGTAACTATATGTTAGTGTTTGGCTGATATGGCAATACAATATTATTCGGTTTCCAGAGTCAGGAAACGGTGTGTGTTGCTAACGCAAACCTAGTGTTGGCTGATTCATTGTCAAAGTAGTTCCATCCAAAATAAACATTTGAACAAAAATACATTTAGGACGAAATTACGCATTGTTTATTTTATCGGTTGCTTTTTCTTGTTAAAAGTTAAGTTGCAACTCCTCGGTTGAAATTGTATTAATTTAGATGTGTAAGTTAGCTGTAGGGAAAACACATATAGAAAGTATTGATATTTTGGTTAAAAGCTATTTATTTTAAGTGTATTAAAAGGTCCTGCTTTAAACTCTTACGTAAAAGTACACAACTATAAGCCTCAAAATATACCTTGTGTGTCAAAAGTAAAATTACTCATTATAAAGAATGGCTTATTTCAGAATCATATGGATTATTTTCCTCGATTATAATTAGTGATGCCCTTATGTTGGGGCTAATTCTAACAATGTATACATACCGCTGGGTAGCCTATTTTCTAATATTATATCTTAATAATTATATTTAGTTGCCAATAATGAAAGGTTAATGACATGATCCGAAACTATTATAAACAATTTGATTAAGACCGAGTCCATGATATGTTTGACCTTGAGTACAAAATGACACCAAACTTCTTTTTTTACAGGTTTCATTACTGGAACTGAACTTCTTACCTACCACTGGGTCTGCGCTCACCAAGCAGCAGCTCATTTTAGCTCGTGAGTATTGATGACAAACAAGCGGACAGACAACATTTGATATTACTCAAGAATGACTTTTTGTCATAGTACTAAACCAGTTCATGAGGAGATCTACCTAATAATAGAGGAATATTTGTGTGTGTCTTTCAGGTGATGTCCTTGAAATCGGAGCCTTGTGGAGCATCCTCAAGAAGGACATCCCATCCTTCGAGAGATACATGGCCCAGCTCAAATGTTACTACTTTGATTACAAGTAATGTCACTTTTCCTTTTTTTAATTGGTACGTTGCTACATTGTACAAATGGCGTTTTTTCTCTAAATGTTCTCTTCTTCTACTTTTTTCATTAAGGGAGGAACTGCCCGAGGCTGCCTACATGCACCAGTTACTGGGACTGAACCTGCTCTTCCTGCTCTCACAGAACCGCGTGTCTGAGTTTCACACAGAACTTGAGAGACTGAGCGCTCGAGACATTCAGACCAACGTATACATCAGACACCCGGTGTCCCTAGAGCAGGTGCTGCAATTTACTCCTAGGACATCGCTTTGTTGTTCTGCCCTGACTCGGTGTTCAGGCTGACATTTTATCATTTCTGCTACAATCAGTAATCTTGTACCCTCAAATCAATATTTTTTACATTATTGTTTGTGGGTTGTCCATTCAATTAGGAAGGAACACACGTAGGTTAATTGACAGGATAACGGCTGTGTTTTGGTTCAGTTGTACCCTCAAATTAAGTTTATTCACTCCTGTAGTCATTGTTGCATAAGCGCTTTGAGCACCAGGAAAAGCGCTTTATAAATGTAATGTATTATTATTATTGTCTCCTCAACACTGTCAGTCTGTTATAGTAGGAAATACAACATTGTCATATTACATTAGACCAAAAATTACGCCATGTTTACTTTTGGCTGGCTAGGTTTGACTGCTACCTGCAGACATGCTTACTTCGTGCCTTTCAAAAATGATTGGCCAAAACTTATCGTAGACATAGATTTCTTACAGTTTAATTTTGGCCTGAGGCACATTGATTTGATAACTGTGATTGTTGCACTCACACATTATGAACTCAAACTAATCACATATAATATGAAGCTTGTCTCAATAATAACCTTCATGTTAACCCCTCTGTTATCCTCCTCTGACCTTCTCAGTACTTGATGGAAGGAAGCTACAACAAGGTCTTTCTAGCCAAAGGCAATATCCCTGCAGAGAGCTACACCTTTTTTATAGACATTCTGCTCGACACAATTCGGTAAGCATCAATATGGTAATCCAGCCTGTCATACTTTCTACACCTTTTCAATGATGTAGTCCTAAACACTTGATTTAGGACCATATCTGTTGGTTTTGCTGTAAAATGAAGTTGTATATTTCGGTTCAGGTCCTAATGATGTATTGGTTTAGAAATGTTACCATGGCTGTGAAAAAAGTGGCATACGTTATCATTAAAAAGGTTTAGCATAGTAAGGGTCTGCAAAAACATCTACATTTGTGATATCTTAAGCTGTACACCAACATCAAAGATCTATCATTTATGCTATCTTACTAGGTTACTCAACACAAAACATATTACAATTGTGTGACAATTGAAATGCATGACAATGTCTTTTAAATGTGTGTTCAACTAAAACGCTGATCTATTGATTTATTCCAGTGATGAGATCGCAGGTTGCATAGAGAAAGCATACGAGCAGATCCAGTTCAACGAAGCCACGCGTGTGCTTTTCTTCAGCTCCCCGAAAAAGATGACAGACTATGCCAAGAAGGTGTGTAACATTTCATTTGGGAATGAACTTAAACCATATGTCGGATTTAAGGTTGTATACAAAAAGGACAAGATGACTTAATAAAGAGGCTAAACGTGGGCTGGCACCTTAAACACACCAAGACACACATCATGTAAAAAGTAGATTTCTTGGTCATTTCATTCCTCAAATTGAAACACAATTCCCTCCTAGAGTCTTGCTTCCAAAGAATGAAATGACCAAACAGCCCAAACTGATTGTTCCTTGTCTTTTCAGAGGGGATGGAGTTTGAGCGCAGACGGCTACTACTCGTTCAGCAGCCAGCAGCAGCGGACAGAGGAGGTGACCATCCCCTCCACAGAGCTGGCACAACAGGTCATCGAATACGCACGACAGCTGGAAATGATTGTGTAATCCGCCCCCAGGAACACACTCAGACATGTACAAACACACTCAGAAACACAAGCCGCTGATCCAGTACACCCAGTCAAATGCTCAAACGCAGTTTCCCTGAGGGATAAGACTTCATGGGGGGGTAGATTTGTTGCCCATACTCCTTAAAAAAATGTTTTTGTTGTATTTGAGTTATCAGCAGCTCATCCTGTCTTGAGGTTCTTTTTTAAATATGGGGAAACAGAAAGGATCACAGGTGTATTGCTACACATCTTCCGTTACATTAAAACAGAGCTTTTATTGGGTTATTCCAAACTGGTCACCTCTGGGACTCTATTACAGAACAAAAAATGTTCCCATAAATTTAAGCCAACTTTTTTTTGGTATACAAAGTTTTTCCTTAGTAGAGCTCACGGATATGTGTTGCCCTTGCCTTGTATCCTGGCAACTAACAGAATCGCCATTGCAGTTGGAGTGTTTTCTAAATGGTAAAGCCCGTTCCTCCCTACATGGTTTGTAATCCAGTTGATATTACAATGCAAATCTTTCTCTGCAATAAACGATTCCGAAAATAAACTTTCTGAAATACTGCGTGTTTTATTTATATTTTTTACACTTCAAGTCTTCCTTATTAAAATGCTGGTTAAGGTGACATATTTTAAATGTCAGGAATCTTCATCCTACTCAGTACTGTTTGTCTCAGTGCTATTCAAGCTGCGAGTCTCACTGTGGTGATCCAAGGAGGCTCACACAGGTGGTTTGGGCATTCATAATACCTGTGGAAGTATAGTTTGAGGTTATTTTCTGTTCTTGAAATTGTGATTAACATCAAAAAGGAAGTTAATGAGATTTCAAATTGACGCTGACAAACTATAGCTTAAATTGTAGCTCACCACTTCTGGACATTTGATGGCAAACCTTGTGGGAGCAGGACTGATTCACTGTAAACGGGGGCCATCGACCTCCAGTACGAACTGACCCAGGAGCTGCTTCAGAGGGGATGGCTGCTTTCTGTTCTTCGGTTTGAACCTGTTCATTCTCCCCATTCACATCTCCTTTTGTATCCCCATGCTTTTCTTTCTCAGGGACCTTTCCTGTATGATTGCGTTTCATGTTTTTTACTGCTTTGCTTCTTGTCTTTGGCTTAACAGCAGGATCTTGAGGTTCCTGCTGGAGTCCGGTGCTTGTCTCTGGAGCTGCAGTTGTGGGGTTATGAGTGGCAGCTGTCCCTTCAACTCCTGGGACCTTCAACGCTTGTGCGTTCGTTTTTTTATTTTGTATTAAAGTGTTTCTGTTGGGGTTTGGTTTTTGATTGTGTGTCTTGGCGGCCTGCTGCTGTGAACTCTCCTGCAGCGGATTGACAGCCGGTCCAGCTGCTTTCTGGTTGCATCTAACACCATCTAGCTCTTTTTTCTTAACTAGCTTCCTTCTTAGCCGCATTTTGGCAACAGCGGCACGACTCCTTTCTGAATTCACACCTAAGCGATACTTGAGGTCCTCTTCTTCTTCTTCTTCGGTGACACTTTTGGAGTTTGCTTCTTTTTCCTTTGTGTCGACCTGAGCTTCTGCTTGCTTTTGTCCTGTTGCAGGGCATTGTAACTCGGAGCTTCCTGTGTTCACACGAGAGCCAAATAAACTGGACTTTTGAGCTGCTGATTGGCTGATCTCTGTTTCGGTTTGTGCCACTGCTGTTTTGCTTTGTAGGTCAGCTGTAAGTAAACGTCTGACCACCCTCTTGTATACACGCTGCACAGGTTCTGGCTTTTTAGCGTCCGGAACTTGAAGCGGTATATC